TTTTTATTCCTGTCTGTATCCTGAAGGTTTTTACTGAGGGACTTGTTCATGTGTAATTTGCTTGATTATATACATTTTATTCCCCCCAAAATTGTGAAAATATATTGTTTTCTGTCTGTTCTAAGTATTTATGGGGTGACAAAAATGAGATACCCAAAATTCGACTCTAACATGTCAAAAAAAATTAAACAAGAATTTTGAAACTGACTTCATCCAGTGTTTAGATTTATTAGATTTAATTAAATAATGCCTCATTTGCATATTTAAAAATAAACTTGTAATACACAAATGTTTGCAATTATCAATGTAATCAGTCAACTGGGTAATTAAGGCGATAACTATTAGTTATTTTTTACTCTATTCACCTGTGCTGTCTTGCCTTAAAGGGACAGTTCACCCAAAATTCACAATTTTATCATCATTTACTCGCCCTCAAGTTGTTCCAAACCTGTACGAGTTTCTTTATTTAGTGTACCATAAAAGAAGAAGATATTTTGAAGAATGTTGGTAACCAAACAGATGCTGGCACCCATCGACTTCCATAGTAGGGGAAAAAATATTATGAAAGTCAATGGCTACCGGCAACTGTTTGGTTCCCAACTTTCTTCAAAATATCTTATTTTGAGTTCATCAGGAAAAAAAAAACTCATACAGGTTTGGAACAACTGTAAATAAAGACAGAATTTTAATTTTTGGGTGACCGAAATATGTGTTTCCTACAGCAGCAGATATATTATTGTAATATTGATCAACAAACTACATTACAGAATACTTTATCCATCATTAAGAGAGCAGGATTGGTTTGAGCAGCATGCAAACATCAGAATATTGAACAGAAGATTCTAGACAAACGTCCCGGGTTGGGTATTGATTTAATTTGATCAATTCCGAGTTCGGATTCCAATGTGGTTAAAGTCAATCATTTAGATATCAAGCATATTTATTCTGTGTTTCTTTTTGCAAAACATTTAATTGCTGCTGAATACCAAGAACAAAAATCAGCCGGCTGCATAAAAACTGGACTCGATTAAGAGCTGTTTGTGTGCAAAAATAGAGCCGCACGATTCTGGATAAATTGAGACTTTTTTTTAATGGAGGCTGTAGTTCTCTCACAATTCTGAAGAAAAAATATTAGACAACTTAACAAAATCTGATGGAATTTCTGAATGAATGATTCAATGACTCACTCAAGATTCACTTGTTTCATTACTGGATGATACAGTGTTTTTTAGATTCAATGACTCACTCAAGATTTACTTGATTCATTACTGGATGATTCAGGGCTTTTTGAATGAATCTCTTGAATGAACGATTCAATGACTCACTCAAGATTTACTTGATTCATTACTGGATGATTCAGTGTTTTTGAATGAATCTCTTGAATAAATTATTCAATGACTCACTCAAGATTTACTTGATTCATTACTGGATGAATCAGTACTTTTGAATGAATCTCTTGAATTAACGATTCAATGACTCATTCAAGATTTACTTGTCTCATTACTGGATGATTCAGGGCTTTTTGAATGAATCTCTTGAATGAATGGTTCAATGACTCACTCAAGATTTACTTGATTCATTACTGGATGATTCAGGGCTTTTTGAATGAATGATTCAATTTTAACAGCCCCTTTTCGCCAGCTAAAACACAGGAATTGATGGGTGGAATTGAAATGTAAATGTTACAATAAGTATCCGATTCTGGAATTGGAATTTATTTTCTATTCCCAACCCTACAAACGTCCTGATAAGAAGCTAAGCGGCTGCGTGACGTGTCTGTGCATGCCCAGTCTGGGGTCAAAGTTCACACGTGTCATGTAGAAATGACATGTCGCACTGAAGATAACCTGTAAAAGCGGTCTGAGACGTGAAGGAGTCTTACTGGAGATGTGAGCCGATGTGAGTCTCTCCAGACAGCTCAGATTGTCCAAGCCCTCCGAGCCCTGAAACAGCAGCAGTCTGGCCTCCTTCTGCACGGCCAGCAGCACATTATCCACACGATACGCCACCAGACCATTCTCACCTATCAAATATCATAATGCATATGTACAGTAAGTCAAATCAGACTGACACCCATATGATCAGTCACAACATCAGCAATATTCCTGCATTCTGCATGTGAGCAAAAAAACAAATATGCATGGAAGCAAATGCAAATGCATGATGTCAATGCATAAATGCAGTTTAATATCAGACACTCACCATGATACAGAAATCTTGTGATGTACTGCCCATTATTTTCTCTCGCGGCGTCGCTCCTAAAAACCCCAGAAACCGTTTTCCCTGCTGCAGGACATGAAGTAAACAAAAGAACAATGAGAATGATAAAGTACACAAACATTATGCTCTTATGCTCTTATGCTCTTCATTCACTGCAGTCAATGAGGCAATACTGTCCTTTTCCGCCCACTTTGTGATCGACGTCTGCTACATCCAATCGGAATACGAGTTTTCATTCTAGCGCAGTAAATCGACCAATGAGAGCACGGCGGAGGCGGGGCGAGAGTCGGCTCATACGTGTCAGCGCTGCCGCAAACCGCTGCTCCAACTGTCGTGAGGAGTGTTTACGAAGCGACTTAAAATCATGTAATACCTTATTGGGAGTCAAAGAAATGATCTACAGTCTGGAGGAAACATGGAGATCCAGGTGAAGATGAGCGGCAGAGAGTGTCGCACTGTGCTGGTGACCGGAGGAGCGGGATTTATGTGAGTGTCCAAAAATATAAAAATACATCTGAACCCTTCAAATGACCGATTGTCACCGCTTTAGACAACCGAGTATCAAATTAAGGGTCATTTATTGTGAAAAACATTTGACAGAAGTCTGAGATGCTGAATCAATAGATTATGGGGCTTTGTCCCAATACACACACTTGCGCACTTGTCTACTTGCATGACAAATGCAGTTCATTAACGACTCTAACAACACTGTTATTGAGCTGAACTGAATAATGGCACTGTTGTCTTCAGTGCTGCCAACTCATTTTCAGGGGAAGCTGCTAAAGGAAGGTCGATTTGTTGCTAAATGGCGCTGTGACGTCATTGCGCGATGACGTCATCACGTAATCACGACGCAAAATTGTCACAACATCAAATCTCAGCAAAAATATATTTTATATATGTTAATTTTTTTTTTAAATATTGAAGTATTGAACACTTACACAATTTTTAAGAGCTAGTAAAGTTGTACACATTCTCAACAATTATGCTTTAAGCAGTGTATTAGTAGTTAGTTAGTATGCTACACTCTAAGAAAAGTCTGTGAACATAGGGCACAATCTACTTTAGTAATATGAAAGAATTTTACGTATTGGAAAATTTTACCTGCATTTTAAATTACGCATTGTGTTTTCAGGTTACTAAAATTACTAGTATCTTTTCCATTTTACTTACAGTGTACTAACTGATCAACAATCGCAGGTACAAGCTACTAACAAAGTGCATCATAAATGAACAATTATTACATTATTATTATTATTATTAAATGTAACAGTTGCAAACAGCAGCTAACTCGGTTCACGTGATGTTTACTGCGAGGCATCTTTTTGTGTGATTTGGATGGAAATGTGCCTTTTTATTGTCTGAGTCACTTATCAAAAGTTGCTAAAAGTTGCCAAATACATTTTTAAAATTACTACATTTGTAGCTAGGTGCTTTTGGAAGAAACAGTTGCTAGAGTAGTCTGAGAAGTTGCTACATTTAGCAACAAAATTGCTAAGTTGGCAACACTGGTTGTCTTGTGTAGAGCTGCTGTACTGATGAAGTTACTAGTGTACTCTCACTTACTCAAGTGGTCAAGAGCGCAGTGTGAGTATATTGGGACAGACCCGGTGGGTGATGTTGATAGCGAACTGCTGCGTCCGAAATCACATACTTCACATAGTATACAGTAGGCATAAAATAGTATAAGAACAGACAGAGTAGTGTGTCCAGATTCACAGTATTCAAAAATAATCAGTGTTGGGGGCAACACGTTACAAGTAACATAATCAGATTACTTTTTTCAAGTAACTAGTAAAGTAACGCGTTACTTTTTTAATTTAGAAGGAAATATCGGAGTTACTTTTTGAAATCAGTACCAGCAGTTACTTTGTTTCCATGTGTTGAGTGACAGCTCTGGTGTTGCCATGGTGACAGAAATCAGGAGTAAGTGCAGAGCGTTGTGTGTGAACATGATCTTACTGTAGTTCTAGACTAAATATCAACATGTGTTTACTCGTCTCACTGCACACAAACACATTCAGTGTTCCTCACAATCAATAAAAACACTGAAGCCACGGGAGAGGAATGTGAATTGCAGGTCACATCATGTCAATGACAACATTCTCTTCTGCTCACCAAGCCTGCATTTATTTGATCCGAAATACAGCAAAAGCAGTAATATTGTGAAATATTTTTACTATTTAAAACAGCTGTCTTCTATGTGAATATCTGTTAAACTGTAATTTATTTCTGTGATCAAAGCTGAATTTTCAGCATCATTACTCCAGTCACATCATGATCCTAAATCATTCCAATATTCTGATTAGCTGCTCAAAAAACATTTATTATTATTATTATTATGTTGAAAACAGCTGAGTAGAATTTTTTCAGGTTTCTTTGATGAATAGAAAGTTCAGAAGAGCAGCATTTATCTGAAATAGAAATCTTTTTGTAACATTATAAATGCCTTATCATCACTTTTGATCAATTTAAAGCATCCTTGCTAAATAAAAGTATTAATTTCTATAAT